CGGAGGAGCTGGAGGAAGTGTCTGAAGAGAGGGAAGTCTGGGCATCTTTGCTTAGACTGCTGCCCCCGCGACCCGGTTCCGGATCAGCAAAGGAAAATGGATGGATGGATGAAGACGGGCAAGGGACATTTGACTAAGCCCAGAATAGAGCGCATTACAATAATCCAGGCGAGACGTAATACACGCATGTATTGCTGTCTCAAAGTGCTGCTGCAAAAGAAAAGGCTTTACCTTTGCCAGCTGTCGAAGGTGAAAAAAGCTAGCCCTTACAACCGCGTTCACTTGACCTTCCAGTTTAAAATTGGAATCTCTTTTGACACCTAGGCTTGTAACAGACGACTGCACATACTGCTGCAAGCAACCTAGATCAACTGGGGGAGAATCACCAAAATTATTTGGGCCAAACACTATAACCTCAGTTTTCGTATCATTTAATTTCAATAAATTCAAAGCCATCCAGTTCTTAACGTCATCAAAACATGACAATAATGATACAACCAATGATGTGTCCCTTCCCCTCATTGGTATGTACATCTGCACATCATCCGCATAACAATGAAAAGAAACACCATGTTTTCTAAAAACACAACCAAGAGGAAGTAAATATAAAGAGAAAAACAGGGGCCCCAAAACTGAGCCCTGCGGAACCCCAGATACCAACGGGGTAGATGAGGACTCAACATTAGCAAACCTGACAGATATCGTCCTATCCGACAAATAAGACCTGAATCACTCTAAAGCAGTACCACGGATGCCCACTAGCTTCTTAAGTCGAGCTATTAGGATATTGTGGTCAACAGTGTCAAAAGCAGCGGTCAGATCCAACATCCAATAAACTACCAGCTACTATAAACCCTGGGATGCCCTGAAGTTTCCACTTGATCCTGTCCTTTTTCGGGGACTCCAATCATCCACTATCTATGCTGCTTCTTCCTGAATACAGTCGTGGGGGGGGGCTGGAGCCAATCCCAGCTGACACCCTGGACAGGTCGCTGGTCTATCACAGGGCTGACATGTAGACAAACCACCACTCACACTAACTCCTACTGACAGTTTAGAGATGCCAGTCAACCTAAGCTGCATGTCTTTGGACTGCAGGAGGAAGCCAGACACCTGGAGAGATTTTTGGGGACTCACGAGAGACAAATGTAATAACAATGAAAACTGAAGCAGCAAAAGTCAAGAAATCTTACATTTTAGTTCTAATTAGTCCTTAATCAAACTCCAAAAATGCTAGATACTGCATTTCCCATAAAGGAACTTAAGCATGTTTACCGACACCCTTGCTGCCCGGTAAACCCGAGGTCATTCAAACCCTACACCTTCACCTAAAGTCCACATCACCCTGATGACAACATCAGAATTATTTTGCTTTCAGACTTTAAAAAGCTCCCTCCAAAGCCACAGGAGACGTCACATAACTGTGTTCACAGCCTTAGTTGACCTCACTCTGAGTAACCTGAACTTCATGTGTAAAATGATGGAGTGGCCCTTTAATCCTTCACACAGGTTAACTTCACCCACTGTCACTTCTGCTCCACAATCACCAGGTGAACCAGAGTTCCGGTACACAGCCGGCCTCCACGGTAATGAGGCGCTGGGCCGAGAGCTTCTCCTCTTGCTCATGCAGTTCCTCTGCAAAGAGTATAATGATGACAACCCCAGAGTGCGCCGCCTGGTGGACGGAGTGAGAATACACCTGGTGCCTTCACTCAACCCTGACGCTTATGAGCTGGCCCATGAGATGGTACGATGATGGCAGAACCTACAGGCCTGGAACGAGGCTCTCACAGCTCTGTAGCATTTTAACCTCAAGGTTTAAGTGTTTAAATTAACTGCAACTTGATGAACTTATTGTTAAAGAAGCACCCCAAGATTGTGACACATTCATTGTGAATGTGTCATGCTGAGCTCCTCTTGGTTTGTGAAACCAGCTGCTCAGTCTTCTGTGGCTCCAGAAGAGTTGTGTTCATCACAGTCTGCACTATAAAAACTTAGTGTGAAGTTTTAAAGGTGTGAGCATTTACCAGGCAGGGAGAGTGAGGAGACTAGTGAGCTGCATTGTGGGAAGTATGGAAGCTTGTCCAGTTATTAGTACTCTGTTAATGTTAGTGGTTGTTGAATTTAAGATATTTTCCATAAAGCCTTGTTGTCAGTAAAATGAATCTCTTCACACCCTGCTTGTTGTCTTAGTAGCCAACATCTGCCATGAAACAGGCTCCAGTGTCACACAATGTTCAGTTCAATACTAAGAAGACACTGGCTGTTGCCTGGGAGACAAATCATTTGATTATGCAAGTCAGATTGCTTCATTAATGTTTCTCAAATATTTATTAAAGCAAAAATGCAGCATGTAACACCTTAAAAATGTCCTCTGGGGCCTGACGTGGGCCCCCTTCCCGTCCTGAAGGGCTCAGAGATGGGGAACTGGGCGCTGGGCCACTGGACCGAAGAAGGTTACGACATTTTCCAGAACTTCCCAGACCTCAATAGCATCTTGTGGGGAGCTGAGGACAGAGGCTGGGTCCCCCGTGTGGTACCCAATCATCACATCCCCCTCCCAGAAAACTTCCTCAATGGCTCTGTGAGTCTGTTTACTCTTAGCATTTATCACATTTGAATCCTAAACGAGTCTCTGTGCATTGAAACCTTTCTATGCATCTTCCTCTTTCAGATTGCCGTTGAGACAAAAGCCATCATTTCCTGGATGGAGCGCAACCCATTTGTGCTGGGAGCCAATTTGCAAGGAGGAGAAAAACTGGTGGCATACCCCTTTGACATGCAGCGCCCACCAATATCTGTAAGGCTACCACACCAACATCAAATCAAATCAAATCAAATTTAATTTGTATAGCGCCAAATCACAACAAAACTCATCTCAGGACACTTTACAAAGTAAGGTCTAGACCTTACTGTTGAGGGGAAAGAAACTCAGAGCATCATGGGGCCCCCAGCAGCCTAGGCCTATAGCAGCATAACTAAGGGAAGGCTCAGCCCTAACTATAAGCTTTATCAAAAAGGAACGTCTTAAGTCTAATCTTAAAGGTAGAGAGGGTGTCCGCCTCCCGAACTGAGACTGGGAGTTGGTTCCATAGGAGAGGAGCTTGATAGCTACAGGCTCTGCCTCCCATTCTGCTTCTGTGGACTCTAGGAACCACAAGTAAACCTGCACTCTGAGAGCGAAGTGCTCTGTTAGGATGATAAGGCTCTACGAGGTCTTTAAGATACAATGGAGCCTTGACATTAAGGGCTTTGTATGTTAGGAGAAGGATTTTCAATTCTATTCTGAATTTTACAGGGAGCCAGTGGAGAGAAGCTAATATGGGAGAGATATGATCTCTCTTGCTAGTACCTAAACATATGACACACCCGTGTAATAACCCTGTTCTCCCTTGACCATGTTAAAGTTAACCGAGAGCCGGCGCTGGAGAAGTAACACTGAGATGAACGAAGAGACTTGGGCCCGTATTCAGCGGCAGAACGAGGGGGCTCTGAGGGAGACGCCGGACGATGCCATGTTTAGGTGGTTGGCAATGTCTTACGCCCACAGCCATCTGACCATGACGGAGACCTACCGAGGCTCCTGTCATGGCGATGACATCACTGGGGGACAGGCCATCACCAACAGAGCCAGCTGGGAGCCGGTGGTGGGCAGTAAGTGTTGGCACAGCGGCGAAATAAACACAAATCATTTTCCCACTTATTCTTGGTGTATTCAAGGCATTGTGTTTACCAGAAACATGTTGCTGGGCACCTGAAACCCATCAAGTCCAATGCACACAGTGAGACACGAGCTGGTAGCCTCAGCATGTTGTGCACAGAGACCAAGAAACCAACAGTTCTCATATACTGGAATAAAGTCTGGCTGCATGTTTTCTGTGTCAGTTAAGGTAAAAGGTCAAGGTCAAAGTGTTAATTGTAATATGCACAGTAAGGAAATGCATTTTCCTGTATGATGAAATTTGTACTTTGCTGTCCATATTGAAAGCCACACAATACAAATGAAATATACAGTAGATAAATATTATATTTTTATTACATTTCTTTTCACTTGCTGTCTAAAGTGCCTTTAGATCTTAAGCTACTAAGAACACAATAAGAGTGAATGTATGCTACATCTGAGCTGTATGTGCAATAGTCAGCAGTGTGTGTGCAATTATGCATGTGCAACTGAGCATGTAAACAGTACAGGTGGGGTTACATGAAGTAATTCCTGATTGCAGACTCCTGTCAGCTGTTTAGGAGTCTGATGGCAGTCGGAAAGAAAGGGTTTTTCAGTCTAGTGGTCCTGCATTTCACACTTATGAGCCTCCGACCGGAGGGTAGGGGTATGAACAGTCTGTGCTGGGGGTGGATGGGGTCCTTGAGGATGGAGGCAGCTTTCCTACGCACCCTGTGGTGGTAAATGCTCTGCAGGAGGGTGCAGACCCAGTGTGGACAGTTTGTGGGTGAGTTTGTGGGGTACAACTGTGTTGAATATAGTCCAACAACCAACGTGTACACACACACACACATAGCTCTGTTTACTCTACATTAGGTGTCTGGACACATGGATTTGTTAGCTTGTCTCAGCTACCAAGACGTCTGTAGCCAATCAGGGGAAGTGAAAGGAGTCATATCTGTGCTACTCCAGGAACTGAGACATGAAAAAATCATGAGCAGCACTGTGTCCTTCCTCCCACAGGTATGAATGACTTCAGCTACCTGCACACCAACTGCTTCGAGCTTTCCATCTTCCTGGGCTGTGACAAGTTTCCCCATGAAAGTGAACTTCCTCTTGAGTGGGAGAACAACCGCGAGGCTCTGCTGTCCTTCATTGAACAGGTGAGAGCTGCACTGATAAGAACAAGCTGAGCCCTTACAAGGGGTCACTGCACGTTGAGCATCAACGCCTACAGACTCTGGTTAGTGTCTGATGAGCCTGCATGGATCTGTTAACCACTGCACCAGCCGTCCTTCCCACTGGAACATGAACAGCGTGTGAAGCTGCTGGACAGAGTGTCACTTAAAGCCATCATGTGTAGGCATAGATGAATCATGGGTCTAGTGCGCACAGGGGCCCGAGAGGTCACAGGGCTCAGGCCAGAGCCTCTACATGAAGTGATTATAAACACTTCAATGTCTGATAGTCATGCAACTCAGTTAAACGACTACAAATAGATGCAAACCAACCAGAGACAGACTCAAAATTACAACGAGACACAAAACAAAGAGAAGAATACTAAACACAGAGACACAAAAAGACTGCTAAGAAACACAGCTAGAAAAGGACAAGGAAAACCACCATAAAGACACAAAACCACAACAAGACAACAAAAATCACTACAAAGAGATGCAAAATGATTATAAAGAGACAAAAGTACCATAAAGAGACAGAACAACTACAAATGTTGAACAATTTTTTATGTTTGGGGGTCTGAAATAGAAGATGTGGGGGCCCATTTTCTCATAATCTGTCCATGCAGGACCGGCCCAAGATTTTATGGGGCCCTAAGCAAAATTTGATTTGGGGCCCCCCACTGCCTCTGTTCCACCAATTAACTATTAGCAATGCTTGACCATTTGCACATGTACTGTAAATCTAACACACCCTTTATCAAATGTATTAGCTGTGTCTGTTTATATCCTCTCATCGTCAGCCTGACATGTTACTAATGTGATTCTTTATCTTTAAAAAAGAAAACTGTAGTGAAACTGAACCTTAGCAAAGGAAGCAGAAGCTAAAACCAGTGAGGAACAAAACAGAACACTATTAAAAACTGACACATGAAAATAATAATAAGGATAATCACCTTTATTTGGCCAAGTATGTTGCACACAAGGAATTTGTTTCCAGTACAGAACTGAGGCAGCCATCTGTGACGCCAACTCAACTGATGACTTTAACCATCATGATGTTACAGGCCTTATGAGGGCAGAACAGATGCTCAATAAACACAAACCACATCAAATCAGTCTCTTAGTACAAATTTCACAAACTCTTAAATAACTGTATTGCTAAGAATGGGTTACCACTGTCATCATGTTACAACATGAACTATTTAGATTAAGGCATGACTGCAGTCATGGTCAAAAGCGACAGGAAATGATCAGTTGTCTCTTGTGTTAAAGTCTCATGCTTTGTTGATCAATTTACCTGCTGTGATGGTCACTGCAGGAAGACACTTCATCACTTCACAGAGCCTTTGGCAGCTTCAGACAGCATTAGTACAGTTGGAAAAATCTGGAA